GTTAATATTTATACAGTGTGTGGATATTTTAATTAATATATATATATATATAGTCCATCTCTCAAGAATCATTGATTGCAGTTGTAAAGGAGGTTAGGTTTTAGGATTTAGGGAATGTCTGGCTTGAGTCTAAAGAATCTTTGATACAGCAGTCTTATGTCAGTGGCCATATGTCTTGTGCATACTGAATAAACGGTGTGTCTTTCACAGCACGAGTGTCAGGTTTGCGGGTATGAGGCGAGGACTCAAATGCAGGAAGAAATGGGCTTTTAATGATAATAATTAAAACAAAACAACAACAAAAACTACCCCGAGGGGGAAAATAGGCAGGCAGGCCAGGGCAGGCCGTAGCACAGCACAGCAAGGCAAGGCAGCAACCGACAGCACACATACATACAAACAACAGATCAGCACAGGACTGCAGACACCAGGAGAATAAATAGGGAGACAATCGAGGAGGGTAATGAGGGAGACACAGGTGGAGCAACTGAAACAATAATGAGATAACAAGAAGGGCGGGGTCAGACAATAGACAGTAGAGCACATGGCACCAACAACAAACAACAAGCCATGTGCTCAAACAAACACACAGTGGCATCTGTGTGCAGCAGTCATGCAGGAAATATACATTTATTGTCTGCTTCAATAGCAACATATGAAAGCAGCCCAGAACTCAGGGGATCTGCAGGCAATTATCTCACTTGTAGTATTCACTGCCCCTACAGTCACAACATTAGCTTTCATAAAAATTTCATGCCCTTGTGCTTTTGCATTTAGTAGCTGTTCTGTTTGGTTCAAACGCGCTGCAGAGAACAGTCACTCTTCTGAACAGGTTATCATATGTGCTTTTCAAATCAAATTTTGTGTAAATGGGTTTTGCTTTTGCAGTCAAGAATGATGCTGCACACTCTCTGAACTGTTTTGTATCTGTCATTCCTTCTCTACCTATTTTCGGTTTTACATTTACATTTATTCTTTTATGCAAAACATTTTAAATAAAACAGCTGAGTTCACAGTGTCCACTACAGCAACAATGCAATGCTTTTGACTCGATCTTACATTTGCAAAGTGATGAATGAACTGGAACTAATTACAGATGCAAATTTTAATCTCTTTTTAAATCATAATTTAATTGGAATGGAATGCTAGTTAAGCAATTTTACTCAAAATATATTTAAAGCAACTGTATGTTTTGTACCTTGAAATATCAAAATTATTCTAATGGGACACTGACTTGTAATGGAGCGAAAGGTATATTTACAGCAGTGAATTCCACTCACTTAACTGTAGGGGGCTCCAAAGTCGCAAAACTACACAAAACTACATACAGTTGCTTTAACAATATAGGTTTTATTAATTAAATAAATAAATAAATACGTTTTTTTTTCTTTTGTGGTTTAATAATGCATGCATCACAACATGGACTCTTTTGGGCATTTTTTCCCTGTTACTGAAAATGAGGTTTCCACTACTCCTCTGGTTTTATCATGACAGTTTAATTAGCTCCCAGTATCTCTGTCAGATGCGGCGCAGTTTCTGTTTGAAGATTTGGACTCTCTCCACTGGGACGGAACTAAAGACGGGGGCTTTTGTCATATTCCTGTGGCAGAGGGTTTTGCTTGTGCTCTGCTAATCTAGGAAATTCCCTATGTGCTGAAAGCAACTGCAGTGGATTTTATGGAGCTCACCGATTGTGTTCAAAGAGGCTGTTTTTTTCCCCAGCATTTTGCTTTTAACATAATAACCGGTTTAAATATGAATTGAGCAATAATACAATGCGTTTTAAATAAAACAGTTATAGTAATGCACAGAAACTCTAAAATATGCTGACACAAAATATGTCTTCAAATAAACATAGTGTTTCATGAATGTTTTGCTGTTTAAATTCTGCAGAAAACCCAATAACCAATGTCATAAAAAGTCATGCGTTTTTTTCCTGGACAATAATGGTGGAAATATTTATAATTTATTTAAAAAATATAAATACACATATAAATGTAAATAAATAAATGTTATATTAAACATTTTATAAGGGTGGAATTTATTTATTTATTTTGTAGTCAGAAGGTTTGTGTACAGAAATTGACTTTCATAATCAAACCCACCTTGAGAAATATTAATTGTTTATGAAAGTATGATTTTTCCTGGACAATAATGGTGGAAACATTTATTTATTTAACCTTTAAACATGTGTACAGAAAATTTACATTGAAAAAAAAAAAAACTTGTGAAATATTCAATATTAATAAAAGTGTGGCAAATAAAGTGTATGGTTTTTCCTCGACAATAATAGTTATTTTTATTTATTTATTTGTTTGTTTGCCTGTCCATTTAATTATTTGTTTGTTTGTTCAGTTAAAAAACTTAAATGTTTGTGTACAGAAATAATAATCATATATCAAATCAAAAATAATCAGAGTGAGAAATATTCAGAAAATTCTTTAAAAAAAATTTTATTTATTAATTTATATTGTCCTAAAATATATAAAGTATATAAATACATACACACACACACCTCTCTCTCTATACACACACATATATACTTTATTATATATTTTTTAATATACAAAATATACTTAGTATAGTACACTGTATATTTTTTGTAACTGCATGATATTTCCAACTATTATTGTGAAATGTGAAAATCTAACATGTCCAGACTTTTAACTGGTAAATTATTCATGAGCCCCACAAACAATTTTAAGTAGCATCATCGTCTCACACACACACACACACACACACACACACACTCCAGTACAGGTATCGCGGAAGTGACGTCACGGAGCGCGGAAGGAGGGGGGGCGGAGGATGAAGCGTTCCAGAGAGCAAGATGGCAGCAAAATCCGATGGCGTGGGGGTCGTTACCGGTTTCGCCCAGCTGCACAACCTGGACGAGGCGGTCGGCGACGAGGATGCGCTGGACAGCGCGGCTATACACATCTGCCACTGCTGCAACTCGTCGTCGTGCTACTGGGGCTGCAGGAGCGCGTGTCTGCAGTCGCTGCTGGGAGACAGGGATGCTGCTGCTGCTGCTGGAGGAGGAGGAGGAGGAGGATACAGGCGGCCGCAGCATCAGCACCAGCCGGAGGAGCGCCTGTGGCTGGACTGCCTCTGGATCGTCCTCGCGCTGCTCGTCTTCTTCTGGGACGTCGGCACGGACTTGTGGCTGGCTTTGGACTACTACTCTAAACGGGACTATCTGTGGTTCGGGCTCACGCTGTTCTTCGTGCTGGTGCCGTCGGTGCTGGTCCAGATCCTGAGCTTCAGGTGGTTCGTCCAGGATTACGCCGGCGGCGGGCTCGGGGCCGTGGAGGGGCTCAGCAGAAAAGCCACGGCGGATCTGAGCTCGCGCATCTACGGCAGGGACAGGTGCTGTGTGATCTACATTTGGATCTGGTATGCTTGCGTGCACATCCTTCAGATGGGACAAGTGTGGAGGTAAGAGGCTGGACGTCACATGCACTGATCAGATGCACATGATGTGCTTGTTTTGACTCCAGAGATCATGCACACATAAACTGAGCGATTGCATGCACATGCATCATATGTGACCCTGGAGCACAAAATCAGTCATAAATAGCACGGGTATATTTGTAGCAATAGCCAAAAATATGGGTCAAAATGATCGATTTTTCTTTAGGATGTTAAGTAAAGATCATGTTCCATGAAGATATTTAGTAAATTTCCTACCTAAACTTAATTTTTGATTAGTAATATGCATTGCTAAGAACTTCATTTGGACAACTTTAAAGGTGATTTTCTCAATATTTCGATTTTTTAGCACCCTCAGATTCCAGATTTTCAAATAGTTTTATCTCGGCCAAATATTGTCCTATCCTAACAAACCATACATCAATGGAAAGCTCAAAACATTGAGTCTTATTACTGGTTGTGTGGTCCAGGGTCACATGTAGTGCCTTATATATCCATCAAGTCAAGCAGTCTAGCTCAGTTGAAACACGATGTTTTCTTTCTCTTGCTTTATGGCTTGTTCAGTGTCCTCTAACCATCTGTGTAACGATGCCAAACACTTCATTTCAGCAGAATGACGGGCTCACTTCGGGCTGGAGAGTGTGAAATCGATAGAGCTTGTAATTAATTTACTTGAATGACCTCTGCAAGAGGAAAACAAACCTCGGTCTGGTTGGGTTGGTTTTGCTGCATCCAGCTTGGGCTTGATTTTGTAGCATGTTGCGTGCACTTTCAGTCTTGTCTTCAGGATGTTGTCAATATTTTAGCCGTTCCAAGGTCATATTTCATGCTGATTGAGAAGCGTGTGTGTTCTGGTGAGGGGTTGCATTGGTCTGATGTGGTCTGTTATGCTCTGGTGTTGAATAGGACTAAATTATGAGCAAATAAGCATGAAACGAAGCTTTGCATCACCAGCATTAGCATTCAGATGCTTTTAACCAAGTGCAGAATCACAAACATGTCATCAAGAAACAGCATGAGGACGAACGGGGGAATACAGAATTTTTATTTTTTTTTGTAAATTGTAGTTGAGTATTTCTCACAAAAAATAAAGCATGAAGAAAAACTTGTTTTGAATTTTGATATTTTACATATAACAGTTAATCACAATTTGCTTCCAAATTTGAATTACTATTATTCACATTATTATTATTCACGCACTTATACGTTTACTTTTTCTTACTCCAATATGTTCTTTTTTAATTACAGATATAAAATAAAGAAATAAAATAAAACATTATGTCGAAATATTTGATCATTTTAGTAATATGTCCTAATTTTTCTGTATTAAAAAATTGAGAATTAAATTATTGTGGTGATTTTGGGGAGGTAACTTGGCTTAATTGACATTAAATGAAAGTCAGGATGTAAATAATAGTAATAATAATAGTAGAATTGTTTTTTTGAATATGTTTTATGAGAATTTGCAATTTATAAGAGCGTTTATAAAATGTATAAAATTTTAAATGTTATAAATTGTTGTTTTTTTCTGCATTAAAATAATGCTAATTAAGTCATTGTGGGGATTCTCTGGGTAAAATGTGCGTAATTGTCACTAAAATATGAATAATAATATATATTTTTTCAATTTTTCTGGAATGCAGCGTAAACATGTTGACTGATTTTGTGCAATTCATCTAATTTCCTTTTGCTTTATTTACTACCATAGTTTAGTCTGTTGGTGAAATGTTGCAGAATAACTTGAACCGGTCATATAAAGTGGAACACTCATTTTAACTAGCATTTTCATAGAAATTATTAGATTAGAGAAGGATTCTAGGCTGCATGATTTTTCAGTCAATCCACTTATCAGATTACAGAATTTCCAAGTAATAAATCATAATTTTTGTGCTCTGTTCTGTCAGTATATATAATCGCCTGTGATTAGCTCCACACAGCGGCGTAACCTGTATCCTGAGAGTGTCCAGTGATATGTAAGAATAGCTTGTTGTTGATGTTTGGCTTCCTCAGCGGGGCGACAGGAGATGTAGTCAGTGTCTACAGGCCTGAATAAGACAATTAGTTGACTGTCACGCCGGTTACGATCATCTGTCGGGCTCAGGGGTGACCACCAGAAGCTGACGGGCGCAGGCAGAGAATTTGTTCCCCGTCGGCGGTGCTCACACTCTCTGGATGAACATATGCTTCCCTTGGCAGAGATCTAACACTGATGAGGGCTGATTGCGGTGTTCAGAGTGTAAGACCCCAGCTTGACTCTGAGCTCTCACAGCGTGACAATCCATTCAGCCCTTAATTCCATGCATTTACTTTACACACGCTGATCATGTCCAATTGTTATTCTGTGACATTTGGGCTTACAGGATTGAGAAAATGATGTTCTGAATGTTACCAAGAGGACTTTTGGACCCTACAGTTAACATATGGCTAGAAATAATCAACAAAGAAATGAATTAATAGTTCCAAGATGGCTTGTTAGTTTGTCTCTGGTCTCTGTCTACTATTTTAATTTATTTAATATTCCATGTTGGTCTTAATTGTATTTGGTTTTGTGCACACATAATTTTTTGCTGCATATCTTGGCCTGGACTGTAAAAGAGATTTCAAAAAGAACTCAAAAAGTTTTTTTTCCCTTCCTGGTTTAATAATAATAATAATAATAATAATAATACATTTTGGTGTTTTCATAGAGGATTTAATTTGTTGTTTTGCACTAAAAATGTTGTTACGTTGTACATGTTGGTACAACATTGCTAGTAAATTTAACAAAAAATTGCAGAGAAATGCCAAATAACACATTGAATTAAATGTGAATTTTTTTTTTAGGTAGAAACACTGAAATAGTATTTTCTTGCAAAACGTACTTCAATAATCTGTATTTACAAATTTAAAAAATATGTCTATATTTTTTACAGTATATTTGAAGTTAGTGAATTGAACAAACACTTAATCCTAAATATTGAACTGAAAAAAATTGTTTTATTACTTTTCCTGTACAAATATCTAAACAATCTTAATCAAGATACATCTGCTTGTATATAGGATATAAATATAAAATCATTTAAGACATTAAGTCTTGTTTTCTAAAAAAGGAATCAAAAGTGAGTAGGATTGCAGAAAGGTGGAAAATTTCCAGTAAATTTCGGAAACATTCCAGACATTTTGGAAACTTTCCAGGATTTTTTGGAATCTCCCAGGGATTTTTGGAAAGGTTCCGGAAATTTACCAGAAATGTTCCACCCCTTTGCAACCCTAAAAGTGAGTGAGTTTATGCTTAAAAAAAAAAAGAGGAATTTGGCATCAGAAAAATAATCTTAATTCAAAGAAAAAGCAATTTTCTTAGATTTTTTGGAATCTCCCAGGGATTTTTGGAAAGGTTCCGGAAATTTACCAGAAATGTTCCACCCCTTTGCAACCCTAAAAGTGAGTGAGTTTATGCTTAAAAAAAAAAGAGGAATTTGGCATCAGAAAAATAATCTTAATTCAAAGAAAAAGCCATTTTCTTACCTTATTGGCAGATATTTTAAGGGAAAAAAATCACTTAATTTTGATAAATGTTTCAAAAAAACAAGCCATCTTGCTTCTCAAGTAAATTAAAATGTTCGTACTGGAAAACAAGACAAATATACAAACATTTTTTTGCAGTGTGCTATTTTGACATGAATAGTTCCTGAAATAACAAGTGTTAAAATCAAAATGGGTGAAATCCCCTAGACTTGCACTGAAGAAGGGAAACGGGCTGTATCTAGAGACAAGAATATCACAAAGAGCATGAACTCTTTTTTTTTATTATAGGACCTCTAAGAAACCAACTACTGTTATTCCTTGCAAGGAAACACAAGAATCTAATGAGCATTCTTGCATCTGTTATTAACCCTCTGGGCAGCATCCTAATGAAGCGGGTGAGCTCTGGGTCCATGCGGTCCTGTGACGCAGGAGTGATCTGTAGTCCAGCAGCTGGTGTAGCTGTAGATAGATGTTGGCATTGACACACTGACCTGAATTCTGTTCCGTTCTGTATCTGTTCAGTGCACTTTCACCGGCCCGTTACTGGCCTTTTACTGCCTCCACTTAACCGCAGCACGAGACAGACGCAGCTGCTCTACACACTTCACTGCTACACAGATCCCTCTCACAAGCTGCTGCTTTCATGTTTTCTTGTCCACCCACTCATGCAACCTTTACCTTGTTTAATGTTCAGCACTAACATTGTTTATATATTGCAAACGCGCTCTTTCTCTAGAATGACATGAGAAATACAAGGTCTCCAGTACCAGTTGCTCATAGCATGAGACTTATAGTTGATGTGTGTAATGTTTTTGAAGTTAAAATTCTTGGAATCTTTGTCCCGTTCCAATTTACAGTTATGTTTTTTATCCAAAGCAATTTAGAATAGGAACATAAGCAACGCGTCACAGAGCCAAAATAGGTTTATTAGAAAGCTAGACTAAGAAACGATGAAGAATGAAGATTAATACTTTTTTTTTTTTCCCAAAGTATGCAGTATTAGTTTAATATTCAGTAATGGTTATTTTATTTTTATTGATATGCTATTATAGTTTTTAATAATATCTTTTTTTAAATAAATCTTTGATTTTATTAGATATTTTCCACTTTTATTTTAGTAGTTGTAAGTGTTTTAGTAATTTTGTGTGTGTTTGTGTGTGTGGGGGCGATTGTTATTTGTTTTTAGGTTTTTTTATGTCTCTGTAGTTTATTAATTTGCATTTCTGTGTGTTTTTATTTTATTTTAGTACTTCAATTAAAAAATAAATAAATTTTGCTTTGGCAACTAGCTGAAATAAAATATTTTTTATTTTTATTTCAGTTATTTCATTTAACGTTTATTTCATTTCCCTGGAAAGTTATCAAAATACTGATGCTTTTTATTTGAATCAGTTATTTATTTTATTCTGTTATCTGTTATTATTCATTAGGGTCATTATAGTTGACTAAAACTAGAACCAAAACCATAAAAAATTGTTACTTGAAATAACCTATTTCATTAC